TGTATACTATATAGTATTTTTGTCATCTCTCTGCAGTGGAAACACTACACTGACAGGCTGACATTTCTATTAAAGAAATGGATCAGCATTTTGGGAAATATGTGTATTGATGTTTTTGCTGATACTGAGGAGAACTTTACTCAACTTTTTTGTAAAAATGAAGGCGCTTTCTAATGCTAACGACAGGGCTAAAGGCAGTTACTGCTCTCAATCTAGAAATAGTCACAACACCTTTTGCACTCTAAATATGTCAGTTTACCCAATCGCCGGTTAAAGAAACTAAATGTAGCTTGTTGGTTACTGTGAGCAAGCATTTGCTGACAGTGTGAAGGAAAAACTCCCTTTTAACAGGAAGAAATGCCCAGAAAATCCAGCCTCAAGGAAAGGGGAGCCATCTGCCATGATGACCTTTTGGAGACGAAAGGACCGAGACAAGACAAAAGACACACTAATGGAGCAGAGTTTAATGATAACATTGATTAAATGCAAAATGGTGTATTCACACATAGAGAGCGAAAAGAGATGAATGACAAAGAATCATTTAGGGCACCGTGGGAAACTCTGAGCAACCTAAGCCTAATGCAGTGTTACTGAGAAAGGGTTCAGGGTCTGAACTATATGCTTATTGGTAATATGCAGTTTTGAAGATAAGATTGTGCCTGATTATTCAAGACCTTGAAAGTGAGGAAAAGGATTTTAAATTTCCTTCTTGATTTAATAGTGAGCCAAAGAATAGAAGCCAATATGAGAGAAATTTGGTCTCACTTTCTAGTCACTGTCAGTTCTCTCACTGCAGCATTTTCAGGAATTTCTGATTTGTTTCCTTCTTTTTTTAGAAGAGCCAAAGTATACAGGCTCGTACACAGTGAGGATGTCACACTATTAACAAGATATTCGACCTCTGTTGGAGTAGAGTTTAAGTAACTGCTCTGCACAGTGTTGCCACATGCCACTGAAAAAATAACAGTGGAAGATTTACACATTTTTAGTGTAGCTAAGTTAACTAGCTGGGACCACATCCTCATTTTAACTTTGACAGCATTTCTAGTAGATGTGTATGTATGGAGGTGTGGACCCGCTCCTGAAATTCTGATAAATTAATTCTAATTACAGCACTTTCAGATAGACATCTACTGTAGTGAAATTTATTCCCCACTGCCATATAATCCGTTATTATAAATTTAAATGTTATTTACTAACAGGAGGCATTGTGCATTAGTAACATTCATGTGGAATCTTATCTTCAGTTTTCTTTTAGTCTCCGTTTAGTCTTTGCTTTTTGGTCAAACAGCATACAACATGCATCTTGCAGTGTAGAAGTCTGTGGATTTATTTATATGTAAGTGCACCGAGGCCTATTCCAGGAAGAAGGTTTAGCAAATAACTTTGACCCAATTTTTGTCGACCCAAAAATGAGAGAAACTCATTTCCTGTCTTTGCTTGCAGGTTTTCTTCAACCATCATTTTGTGCCTTATTCAAAATAACTCAAACTACAAAAATTTATACTCAACTGTCTGAAGTCTTAGCTGACCACCGGAACTCTACAAAAGCTTGGACCCATGTGTAGATTATGGAATTCAGGAAAATGAAACCCAGTTATGAGTTAGCTTTACTTGTGGAAATAGATTAAACCATATAATAAATTATTTAAGGTATTTTTTTAAATTGAACTCTTGAGTCATTTGGGTGAGAAATACCCTCTGATTAATACATAAGTTAAAGCAACTTTTTAGCTACAAAACATTGCTGACTGGGTGTTTTGTGCTACCTTTTCCTGCTTTACATCAGCACAGGAATGCTTTGATGAAAACGGTATCTAAAAGCTAATTTATATGTATTTTAACAGTCTAAATTGGGCTACAGTAGGCCTGCTGCATCCAGGAGCAAGATGCTGAAAACAACCTCATGAGTAAGATGTTTGCCTGCAGCTCAACACTGAAGTCAAGTTTTATTTTTTTTATTATTTTCCAGTTTCGTAATTAGTAATCGACTAATTACATAATACTAGAATATATTTGTGGGCTTCTTACCTGACAGGGAACATAAAAAACCCCCCAACAAACAAAAAGAAAACAAAAGGAAAAAAACAAATAAACCTGTGTAGGCCATCAAAAGAGACAATTTCTTTATGGAAGTTAATCAGTAAACATTAAGCGTTAGGGGGACGAAACAATAAAGCTTCACCAGCTCAACAAGAAAACATTATGCTTGTTATATTAACAATCTCACGTCGTTAACAAGAGCTGGTTTGGGATGCTGTGGATAACAGCGATGCTAATAGGGGCTGCAGTGCCTCATTGAATTAATTCAGGCAGAGATAAAATTAGAAACTTTGCCGGAGCTCGGGCTTCATTGAAACTGACGCTGGCTCGGATGCGGGGACCCTGGTGTAGCCGCGCCCACAGAGCGGCTGACGCGCTCACCGGAGGGAGTAATAAAAACCGAGATGAGCTCCTCAGAAAGGGGTACGGAGATAAAACTGCGAGGGAACGTTTGAGTGATTCTTCAGAGTTATTATTCAGAAGCTCAGCACTGTGTGCTTGCTGCAGGGACATGGAGCCGCACGGGAATCGCGGACTTCCATAAAACGAGTGGGCTTCGATTTGGTCACCGTCTGGAAAGTACAGTGATCTGCAACTCCAAAATGTGAGTGTTTATTTTATTTTATTGTACTTTAGTTCTTATAAATGTATTTTTAATTGTTTTTGTTTTCAGGCACAGTGCTGTTTTTGACGCTGACTACGACTTCTAATTGTTGATTTACATTTTAAATGACACACATATTATTAGACGCATAAAAGCCACAGCTAAGTTGCATTTTTTTCACAAGTGACAGATGCTAAACTTTGTCTCGTAAATATAATATACTTAGTATAGTAAGTATTTTTGACTCATAAAATTGATGCCATTGGGGTGTAATTATCTTGATTGGTTGTTGTTAATGCTGCTTCTATTCAGAGAAGATGGGTTGTTAGAAGAAGTCAGCGTCTTTCCACCTCAGTGAGCACATCCGACAGATGTGCTCTACGCAGCAGACTGCTCCCTCTCTGTCACCGACTGTATTAATCACAGAACTAATATTTTTAGTCCTGTTATGCAAATCAATGCAGATAAATCTTGTGCATCAACTTCATTCATAAGCTCATGTATATCATATTTATGCTTGATCTCACTTTAGCAACTGCGGCCTCCACATGTAGCTGAGCAAAATGCTGGGTTCTTGGTGAGGGTCAGAAAATGAACGGCTCCTCCTGCTGTGATCCTGCAGCTGTCATGTACCAGCAGAGATCAGGACTTGACCTCAACGCCAGCTGTGAATGGCCAGATCCTCACTGTAACTGGACATCAGTGGACGGTGCTCTGCAGCTGCCTACTTTTTCCACTGCAGCCAAGATCAGAGTGATTGTTACCTTTATCCTGTGTGGCATATCCACTTTTTGCAATTTGGCTGTGCTTTGGGCTGCCAATGGGCACAAGCGTAAGTCCCATGTTAGAGTCCTGATAATCAACTTGACTGCAGCTGATCTCTTAGTTACCTTCATCGTGATGCCTGTAGATGCAGTGTGGAACATCACAGTTCAATGGCTGGCCGGCGACCTGGCCTGCAGATTCCTCATGTTCCTCAAGCTTCAGGCCATGTACTCCTGTGCCTTTGTCACAGTGGTGATTAGTCTGGACAGACAGTCGGCTATCCTCAACCCTCTGGGCATCGCTATGGTCCGGAAAAGGAACAGGGTCATGCTAATGGTGGCTTGGATCATGAGCGCCTTGCTCTCAATCCCACAGGTGAGACCAGAAGCCAAGACACGTGATTATAGTTTGACAGACTCTTTTTTAGGTAATTCAGAGGAGGTCTGAGTCATAGTAGTTACTTTAGTGCTGACCTTTTCTTCTGCAGATTCCTCATGCACTTCCTGTGCAAGTGCAACCGTCCTTGAATGATGCATAATCTATCACAGTGGGCTGGTTATAGATCAGCTTTATAACTGGCTTTAGATGAAGATGAGTATTGTGTCTCAGTCTTATAAAACTGGAAAACTGTGGGCAAACAAATGTAAGAGAACATGAGATTGTGTTTTTACATTATTAATACATGATTAATCATTCTGTGTACCAGGGTGTATTTACATCAGATGTGGTATTTTCTAGACACTGATGCATGAACTTCTGCTGTGGGCTTTAGGGGGGCATAAACCTTGGGGATTAATAGCTCTATCATTCAGATTTCTAAAAGATCAGGACCTGTTACCCTGGCTGTATAAACAGCGTGGTAGTGAGTGCAGCCTGTAACACTTTTTCATTGTGGTGTAATGATAAACACAAATATAGCCCATCTTCTCTTCAAGCATGCTAGATGATTCTGCACAGGATTGCAAACATTTTGAAATGTGCAAGAATTCCTAAATGTGCTGATCATAAATAATAATTAATTGTAGAGAAGAAAGGATTACTTGCTTTATTGATTAGTTATTTTCCCAAACATTTACTGCTCACATGTTCTTAAACATGGACAGCTTTTCTTTCTCATATATGAATATAAGTGCAATATCTTTTGGTTTTGGGGGCTTAAAGTAAGCTATGAAAATATTGTATTGTGTTGTCTGGAATGATCTAGTTGGATATTTCACATTTTTAACTGATAGCGTTGGAACAAAAATGAGTAATTTTCAAACATGAAATGACTAATTATCTGTAGACTTCAACTTCAAAGGGGCAATAGTTATCATTTATGTATTCTTAATGTAAATTCAACCCCTATAAAAGTCTCAAGTAACTTTTGAAACTGTGACAAAGAGAGGTTGACGAAAGCAGTCTTCCCATTTATAGCAAGCAACGGTTTATTTTGCCACCAGATATGAAAACTGCTGCTATCAGACTTTACAAGCTGGTGGATAAAATAACATGTTGCTGACTTTACACTCCAAGTTGACCCATTTTAAAACATCTCTGCATAGGCACTTAAATGTGCTCTTGATGACTCATATAATGCTTTAAAAGTGTATCAGGCGTCTGTGTTTTTAGGCAGAGAAGTACTAGTACACCTTACTAGCTAATGATCAATGTGCAACTATAAAATACTTTGAAATAAAAATACCTAGTTTTTATAGGGATGTGTAGGTTGAATTTATACACTGTTTCCCATATTTTCAGAATAGCTTTTTTGCTTTTATTGATATAAGAGAAACTACTTTTAGGATGAGGACTGTGTGGTAAATCTTACATTCTTGTAATGTCTTTAAAGTGAATCGTTGTTTAGCTTCTACACAGGGTTAAAGTACTTAACCACTGCTTGGGTTTTATGAACTTTTAAACTGATTCACATTTCAATCCTCTCCCCAAACCTAAACATCTCTGGTACACTACTAATTGTCATTTCACGCTTACTGACTGAGGCATACTGGTCCATTTGGTCTAATCATTTGGATAATATTTGAATCTTCAAGCCGACGTTCAAATAAAAAAAATATGTTGGATGACAGCTACTGCCTGCAAAATTCTAATTTTGTTTTGAATTTTTAATCCAACAGATGTTCATTTTCCATAATGTGACCATTACCTATCCAGCAAACTTCACTCAGTGCACCACCAGGGGAAGCTTCGTTACTCACTGGCAAGAAACCGCTTACAACATGTTTACCTTCTGTTGTCTCTTCCTGCTGCCGCTGGTTATTATGATCATTTGCTACACCAGGATCTTTGTTCAGATCTCCAAACAGATGACAAAAAAGAACAGTAAGTGTCCAAGTAAATGGTAGTTGATCCAAACACAGGCAAAACTACAGGAACTAAAAAATACGTTCAAGCTAAAAGGTGCTCGCAACATTTAACTTCAGTATCACCAACTTCTGTTCAGGTTATGTTTTTCTTGTTTCATCGTATTCTTGTTATTTTGACCCATCAGCA